GAAAGTGTATTCTTTTCCATCAACAGTGTAACAAAGGATCTGCTCTATGGTACCGTTGCGGTCAAAATCTTTTACATACATTTTCACGGGACCGTTTTTACCAGCCCATAATTTGGTATTATGTCCCCAGTTGCCCGCCAGTATATCCGGGTAGCCGTCTCCATTTACATCTGTAGTATACAAGGTTTGCCAAAGCCCGGTAGATGCAGGAATATCATTTTCTGTAAATACTCCTTTGTGGTTTATAAAAATCTTAATGGGCATAAATTCACCACTTACAATAAGATCGGGCCAGCCATCTTTATTGATGTCTGTAAAGCTGGCTGAAGTAACCATGCCCAAGGCTGCGAACAAGGTCATGCCCTGGCTTTCTTTGGCAAAATGCCCTTTGCCATCGTTTAAAAAAAGATAAGAAGAAGAGGGAACACCGTAGGCAGACGCGCCGGAAAGATTACCCACAAAAATATCCATGTCACCATCTTTGTCTACATCGGCTACCGCTACGCATGACTTATTCTCATATTCCTGTGTCAGGAAATTAATTGCTTTGCTGAAATGCCCCTTTCCATTGTTAAGATAAAGCCGGTCTTCCCTTGAAAGCGGGGTTGCCGGCGGCTCGTTGCCACCGCTTATTACAAAAAGATCTTTAAACCCATCTCCATTGGCATCAAAGAAGACCGCATCTACATCCTCGCAGATGGCATCTTTATTAAACAAAGCAGTATCGGCATTTAGAAAAGTACCGTTTGCCTGCTGTATCATTAATGCGCCCGGCTGTCCCTTTGCACCGCAGGCATAGAAATCATCCAGCCCATCGCCATTGACATCACCCACTGCCAATTTGGGTCCCCTGGTACTTTCTTTGTGCGGAATTAAATACTGCTGGTTAAAATCTGTAAAATCATTTTCTCTGTGCTGCCAGTTGCAATTGACCTGGCTGCTCACCTCTTCCAAGGTCTGTTGTGGAGGCGGAAAAAACACCTCCTGCTTGAAAAAGCCGGTTGCTTCTTTCTGTGACACCTGCAATGGCTTATTGATGCCCGGACTTTTAATTACCTGGTATTGCTGGTTGGGCCATACTATCAATACACTATCTGCAGCAGCCGTGGAATCCAATCCAAAATGCAGTCTTGTATCAGAGGAAGATTCAAAACCACGGGTAGGCATCAATTGCTGGTACTGCATACCATTGCGGGTAAATACATAGGCTTTGGCACCAATTCCTGCGGTGTTCATTCCCTCGCCTTTGCAAACAATGTTAAGGTAGTTTTTAACAGGCGCGTTATTTCTTAATACTACGGCGGGTGCATTCAAACTGTTTATCACCAGGTCAAGCCGACCATCGTTGTCCAAATCAGCATAGGCTGCACCGTTATAAAAACCTTTCATATTGCCTGTTCCCCAGTCATTGCTTTTATCTGTAAAAGCCATTTTGCCGTTGCCCTGGAAAAGAAAAGGATGAGAACTGCCGTCGGGCATGCGGGCAATGGTTTCATCGTCGAACTTATCAGATGCGTTCCTGTTTACCCTGGCGGCCAGGTCAGATACAAAACGCACGTAATCCAAATCTACCGGACGTTTTACAATACCACTGGAAATAAACAGGTCTTTGTTGCCATCATTGTCAAAATCTGCGAACAGGGGGCACCAGCTCCAGTCGGTAGCGGAGACCCCGCTTTGTAAACCCGTTTCTGAAAAACTGCTGCCGTTAACGTTGTTACGCTGCAGGCAGTTTCTTGATACCTGGTCCTGGAAACCATTTTTCAGGATCTTGAATTTATAGATGTCGTAGTTTTCATCACTGCCATAGGTTTTCACCAGTTGTTCTGTAGGGGGCAGCATGTCGACAGTGACCAGATCCAGCTGTCCATCGTTGTTATAATCTGCTACATCATTGCCCATGCTGAAGCGGCTGTAATGACTGAAATGTTTGGCACCTTCCTCTTTAAATGTGCCGTTCTGCTGGTTTACGTAGTAGTAATCGTTTTCGTGAAAATCATTGCCTACATAAATATCTTCCCAGCCATCGTTGTTGATGTCTGCCAGCGATAATCCCAGTCCGTAGCCCAGGCTGCTCTGGTAAATACCGGCAGCTGCAGACACATCCGTAAAATGCGGCAAGCCGCCTGCAGCAGTGGCACCATCGTTACGGTACAGCCTGTCGCCGGCACTGGCATTGTATTTCCTGCGGTTGCTGGTATCTACAATATTCTGGTTGGGCTGGTGGCTCTGGTTCAGCACATAGCAATCAAGATCGCCATCGTGATCATAATCGAAGAAACCGGCCTGTGTGCTGAAGCCTGAGAAATTTAATCCGCATTGCGCGGCGCTTTCTTCAAAAATATTATTGCCTTTGTTAATAAACAGCTCATTGCGTCCTTCCAGCTTGCCGCCTATTTTTACCGCGGATACATAGATGTCCAGCCAGCCGTCTCCATTTACATCCGCCATGGTAGCGCCCGTGCACCAGTCTGAGCTGCCCCCAACTTTTGCGCTTGCTGTAATATCTTCAAACTTGAAATTGCCTTTGTTTAAGTAGAGCTTATTATTGCCTTTACTGTTAGCGGTGAAATAGATGTCCGGCAGTCCATCGTTATTAATATCGCCAATAGAGACACCGCCGCCGTTGTAATAATATAAATAATAAAGTATGCTGAACGCGTGCTTTTTCTCCAGGTTATTCTCAAAAGTTATTTGTGTAGCAGAAGAAGACAGGCTGGTAAACAAGCCAGCAGGTTGTTGTTTACAGGAAGTGCAGCTGAAAATGGTCAACAGCAGGGCAGTAACAATATGTATTCTTGCGTGTGTCATTGTGTTTTATTTCGCCGCAGGCAGTTCTTTATTTTTTGCAGCACGCCCGGCAGCTTTTATAAAAGCAGTAATCTGCTTTGTTGCTTCCGGGTAAGCTTTTATAAAATGCGTATGCATGGTGGCAGATGTAAGCTGTTCGTTTCCCTGCAGCAATACAGCAATTGATCTTGAAGGCAGCTCGGGCATATGGCAATTGGTGCATTGGGTATTGATGGCCTGTCCCAGCGAAGCGGTCTTTGTACACATTACCGATCCTGCCTGTTTGCTGTTATGGCAGCTGATACATTTTTCAGAAAAAACTGCCCCCTTCCCTTTTTCATTTTCATGGGGGTTGTGGCAGGTAGTGCAGGTAAGTGTATTGCTTTTCAGAAAACATTTACTGGCAGCCAGTAGTCCATACTGGTTGCCATGTACATCAATATCATTGGGGTCTTTGCCCACTGTATCAAGCGCAAAATAGTCAGCCAGTTTGTCTCCGGCGGTAAATGAGAAAGAAGGTTTTGTTTTTTGCAGCCGCCCGCCATGGCAAAGGGCACACATATCCAGGCTTTGGGCGCGGGTAAATTTTGCAGGGTTAACAATAAAAGAAGCTTTTTTCTCTTCCGGGTGGGAGGTTTGAAAAGCCACATGATCCACGGCAGGGCCATGGCATTTTTCGCAATCCACCCCCAGCACCATGCTGGCTTTATTGAAGCGTTCCGGTTCAGCATCTGCAGCGGAGGTTTTCTCCATATAGGTGGTATGGCATTCCAGGCAACGCGAAGTTACCACCCGGTTCAGTGAAATTTTATTTGGGTAACCGGGACTGTTGCTCCACTGATTTGCTGCGGTAAAAAAAGTGATGGGCAATTGAACCAGTACATTGCCGGCCCATGCAGCATAAGACTGGCCCTTGGTACCCGAGCCGAAAATAATATCAAAACGCTGGGCTTTTTTTTCAACGCCCTCATAGATAGCAGATTGGTAAAAGCCGCCGGGGCGATGCTCCATCTTTACCGCACTGCCATTGCCGAATGTGAAGCTGTTTTTACCGGAATCAAAACTGCCTTTAATGTTTTCTGCTGCCGCCAGTTCCGAAGTGTGAAAATGCGCTGTTTTGAGGTGTGATGCATAAACAGCTGCATGGCAACCCGCGCAGCTGGCGGAACCTGCAAATTTTTTTTTGCTGGCGGGGACAGCTGCTTTTTCCTCGTCGTTTGTATTAAAGCAATTGGTTAAAAGGAATACACCCGCCACCAGTATGGTCATTAAAAGAACGGAGCGCTGGTATGGTATCAATCCTTTCATGTGAAAACAATCGTAGCAGCTTTTGAGTATTTGGGCGGTGAAGTTGCCCGTTATTTATTCTGAAAACAACCTGCTGATGTTGTTATTACAGCAAGAGTAAAAAAGGGTTGCAACTGAATAATTGCAACCCCTTTCTGATTAAAACTGTGCTTTATTTTTTTGTAGTAAACAGGTCGGCAATTTCTGCATTGCTGAGCGGCCTGTTATAGAGCCTGAACTGGTCAAGTGCTCCATTGAAAGATTTGGCCCAGCTTTCTGGTCCGTGGTTGGTAAGCGTTGGTGAGGTCTGGAACTGGTAGGTACCCAGCACCATGCCGTTGAAATCTTTGAACTTGATTTTTCCATAATTGCCGCCTGCCAGTACCCTGTTGTTGATGGCAGTAGCCGCACCATCAATCAATAAGCTCAGTTGCGAAGTGGCGGCATCATACCTTACTGCTACATGCGTCCATTTGTTGAGCATATTGGGTATTTTCAATTCATTCCACTGCTCTCCGTTGCCGGAAGCCACGGCGGAGTTGAACATATGAATTTTCAGGAAGCCTTCAGATCCATTGTCATTATTTTCCAGGAATAAATCAAGATTGCCCCAAAACTCATTTTTATTGGAGATGGAGAACAAGCCCTGCGCGCCATCTTTTACCGGGCCTACGCCTTTCATCCAGAAAGCCAGTGTAAAACTGCCCAGGTTAGAAAGCGTGTCTTTGGGAAGGCTTTTATAGCCGTTGGCGTATTTAACGGTATCGGGGAAGGTTTTCAGCAGTATATAACCACCGCTGCCAATCTGCGCAGCCTGGCCGGTAACACCCGCTA